TATCTATCTATCTATCTATCTATCTATCTATCTCAGTCTGTTCATTATCTATGTGTCTGTTTGTCTGTCTGTTACCGTTAATTTTCTCTCTCAATTCATTCATCAATTTCTTTATATCTATCTATCTATCTATCTATCTATCTATCTATCTATCTATCTATCTTATTGTGTATCTTTTTTTGTCTGTCTGTCTGCCTATCTATCTATCTATCTATCTATCTATCTATCTATCTATCTATCTATGTTATTCTGTGTCTGTCTGTCTATCTATCTATCGCATTTTTTCATATCTATCTACCTATCTATCTATGGACATCTCTCTTTTTCTTTATATCTGTCAATTTACCCTTCTTTTTTATCTATTTATGCATTCATATATCGATAAAGATCATATATATATATATATATATATATATATATATATATATATATATATATATATATAACTCAAGTAATGACATATCTTAACTTTTGACGTCTTCAAATAATGCACATTTTCGTGAGAAATTATCTCAAATTTCAACCGAAATTGAATAATCAGTTCATTTTCCACAAAAAATCGATCAATTATTTTTGGATTCTCAAGAACAAGAACAAGAAAAGCTTCAGCAATTAGATTTCCAACGGATGCCATTCTTGATGTAAACGTTGTAAATAATATAATTGTCAATTGGGAAAGTTCCCCAAATCGGCTTGGACTTCATTATTATGTCCGACGAATTTCCTGTAACGTTGAAGTCTCGAGATTTTTCAAGAAAAAGAAACGAAAAAACAACCAACCTTAGAACAAACAGAAAACAACAATATAAAAAGACAAAAACAAACATACAAAACAAAAGCACGGAATCAGGAAAATAAAAGAAAGCAAAATAAATAAATAAATAAATAAAATCATAAGACATAAAAAAATAAAAGAAAGAGCTAAAAAATATAAAAAGAAACAAAATATATACGCGAGAAACATCAAAAAGCAAAAACATAAAAAACAAAAAAAACATAAATAACAAAAAACAACAAAAAACAAAAAACATAAAAAAACATAAAAAACAACATAAAAAACAACAGCATAAAAACAATAACCCATAAAAAAGCAAAAGAAATTAAAAAAAAATAAACAACATACAACAAAAAAAAAAGACACATGGCACAGTGGATAAAGGCGTTGCTTAGATCCAGTGACATAACCCAAAGAGTCTGAGTTCAATACCTGGTTAAGGCGTTGGAGAATATATATATATATATATATATATATATATATATATAAAGAAATATAGTCTTAAGGTGTGCTATATTTATGGGATAAAGTGCTCAATATCAGAGATAGAGCGTGTGTAAATAAAAAAGTGAACATAGAAGTCAACACTTAGAGGCGACAGTCTGTTTCATGCTATATGCAATCGTCAGGCCACGTGTGCTGTTATTTTTCTCGGCTATATATATATATATATATAGTTAAGGCAGTGGAGAATTTTCAGAGGGAAATTAACAGGAGATAACTATTAACTGACATCCATTAAACATGGCACTTGGAACTAGAACAGTCTACTCCAGTGAGCGAAATAAAGGGTTCAGTTCGACATTCCAATCACCTGAAGAAGGCCGGAGCGTACAACGGCCTAAACAGCTGTAATAAATATGGCGACAAAGATGAGGACAATAGTCCGAATAATGTAAATAATGTAAAACAAAAAACTTAAAAAGCAAAAAACATAGAAAAGCAAAGAACAAAAAAGAAAAAAAAAACAAAAGATATAAAAAAGCAAAAAATAAAACAAAACAAAAAGTGTTAATTTCATAACCATGTCGAATTTCATTGATTTGTTTAGTAGTAAAACAGCTATTGATTTCTATTTGTGATATATTGCCAAATTGGCATGAAGAATCTGATGTAGATAAGGAACGGAATGTTATAAGTCTTTAGAATTTCTTCATTATATTCTTTGGCGGCATCATTTTTAATGAAAGAAATTAGTGGACCATTATAATCAATAGTAAAACAACTGCATACCAATATGGTACCATCATTCAAACTCGGTAAGCAAACTAAGGTGCTAATATGCTACCAGATTATAATTGACGAAGTTGCGATTGGTCACCGGTTTTAGCGGCAGAGGTGGCGATGAGTTACTACTTGTTATAGCTGAGGTGGAAAATTTCAAAGAATTCGAATTCTATATTTTTTCAACACATGAAGGTTGTTTGACACACACACACACACACACACACACACACACACACACACACACACACACACACACACACACACACACACACACACACACACACACACACACACACACACACACACACACACACATACACACACACACACACACACACACACACACACACACACACACACACACACACACACACACACACACATACACACACACACACACACACACACACACACACACACACACACACACACACACACACACACACACACATATATATATATATATATATATATATATATATAAAATATAAAGAATAGCATAATTCACAGAAAATATACTCCCTGTGTACACACACACTTGTATTTTTTCCGGTTGTATTAAGATTGACAATTTTTAGTACAGTAGCAGATATGGACTACATTGTAATGGATGCAGTTATTTATGAATTGTGTGAAAGATGTAAGAAGTGATTTCACTATGAAAAGATACGAGAAAGTTATTTTACTATATTTATATCAATCTGTTCATTAGCTATGTATCTATCTATATATCTGATTTTTCATGAAAATGCATTGGAAAAGATTTTATTATGAAATGCATTGTGATTTTATAGTGAAAATGCATTGAAAGTTTTTATGATGAAAAATGCATTGGAAAGGGATTTTATGATGAAAATGCATTGGAAAGGGATTTTACTATGAAAATGCATTGGCATGGGATTTTATGATGAAAATGCATTGGAAAGGGATTTTATGATGAAAATGCATTGGAAAGGGATTTTATGATGAAATGCATTTTTTTACTATGAAAATGGATTGAAAAGGATTTTATTATGAAAATGCATTGAAAGTGATTTTATGATGAAAAATGCATTGGAAAGTGATTTTATGATGAAAATGCATTGGAAAGGGATTTTACTAATTGAAAGGATGCATTGGAAAGTGATTTTATGATGAAAATGCATTGAAAGGGATTTTATTATGAAAATGCATTAAAGTGATTTTAAAAATGAAAATGCATTGGAAATTTTATTATGAAAATGCATTGGAAAGTTTTATTTTTGGAAAGTGATTTTATTGAAAATATTGAAAACTGATTTTACTATGAAAATGCATTGAAAGTGATTTTTATATGAAAATGCATTGAAAGTGATTTTATTATGAAAATGCATTGAAAGTGATTTTATTATGAAAATGCATTGAAAGTGATTTTTATTGAAAATGCATTGGAAAGAAAATGCATTTTTTTATTATGAAAATGCATTGGAAAGGATTTTATTATGAAAATGCATTGGAAAGGGATTTTATTATGAAATGCATTGGAAAGTGATTTTATTATGAAAATGCATTGAAAGGGATTTACTTTATTTTAATGTATTGAAAGGGATTTTATTATGAAAAATTTGAAAACTGATTTTATTATGAAAATGCATTGGAAAGGGATTTTACTATGAAAATTTTTATGATGAAAATGCATTGGAAAGGGATTTTATTATGAAAATGCATTGGAAAGTGATTTTATTATGAAAATGCATTGAAAGGATTTTATTATGAAAATGCATTGAAAGTGATTTTATGATGAAAATGCATTGAAAGGGATTTTATTATGAAAATGCATTGGAAAGTGATTTTATTATGAAAATGCATTGGAAAGGGATTTTATTATGAAAATGCATTGAAAGTGATTTTATGATGATTTTGATTTTATTAAAAATGCATTGAAAGTGATTTTATGATGAAAATGCATTGAAAGTGATTTTATGAAAAATGCATTGGAAACTGATTTTACTATTGCATTGAAAGTGATTTTATTATGAAAATGCATTGGAAAGTTTTTATTATGAAATGCATTGGAAAGTGATTTTATTATGAAAATGCATTGGAAAGGATTTTATTGTATTGAAAGGGATTTTATTGAAAATGCATTGGAAAGGGATTTTATTATGAAAATGCATTTGATTTTACTATGAAAATGCATTGAAATGCATTTTATGATGAAAATGCATTGAAAATTTTATTATGAAAATGCATTGGAAAGTGATTTTATTATGAAAATGCATTGGAAAGGGATTTTTTATATGAAATGCATTGAAAGTGATTTTATGATGAAAATGCATTGAAAGGGATTTTATTATGAAAATGCATTTTATTTTATTATGAAAATGCATTGGAAAGTGATTTTATTATGAAAATGCATTGAAAGGATTTTATGAAAATGCATTTTATTTTATGATGAAAATGCATTGAAAGGGATTTTATTATGAAAATGCATTGGAAAGGGATTTTATTATGAAAATGCATTTTATTATGGAAAAACTGATTTTACTATGAAAATGCATTGGAAAGTGATTTTATTATGAAAATGCATTGGAAAGTGATTTTATTATGAAAATGCATTGAAAGTGATTTTATGATGAAAATGCATTGAAAGTGATTTATTGCATTGGAAAGTGATTTTATTATGAAAATGCATTGGAAAGTTGCATTGAAAACTGATTTTACTATGAAAATGCATTGAAAAGTGATTTTATTATGAAATGCATTGGAAAGGGATTTTATTATAAAATGCATTGAAAAGTGATTTTATTATGAAAATGCATTGGAAAGTGATTTTAATGAAAATGCATTGAAAGTGATTTTATGATGAAAATGCATTGGAAAGGGATTTTATTATGAAAATGCATTGAAAAGGGATTTTATTATGAAAATGCATTGAAAGATTTTACTATGAAAATGCATTGGATTTTAATGAAAATGCATTGATTTTATTAAAATATTTTGAAAATTTATTATGCATTGGAAAGTGATTTTATTAAAATGCATTGAAAATTTTATTGGAAATGGAAAGGATTTTATTATGAAAATGCATTGGAAAGGGATTTTATTATGGAAAAGTGATTTTATTATGAAAATGCATTGAAAGGGATTTTACTATGAAAATGCATTGGAAATTGGAAAGGGATTTTATTATGAAAATGCATTGAAAGTGATTTTATTATGAAAATGCATTGGAAAGTGATTTTTATTATGAAAATTCATTGGAAAGGGATTTTATTATGAAAATGCATTGGAAAGTGATTTTATTATGAAAAATGCATTGGAAGGGATTTTATTAGGAAAACGCGTTTGAAATTATTTTAAATTTTATTGATGTAAAAAAATGCAATGGAAAGTGATTTTATAAAAATGCATTGGAAAATGATTTACTATAAAATGTACTGGAAATGATTTACCATTGGTGATTTTTATTATGAAAATGCATTGAAAAGTTTTTACTATGAAAATGCATTGAAAGATTTTATTATGAAAATTTTGATTTACTATGAAAAATGCATTGGAAAGGATTTTTTATGAAAATGTTGAAAGTGATTTTACTATGAAAATGCATTGGAAGGATTTTATTATGAAAATGCATTGGAAAGTGATTTTATTACGAAAATATATACGAAATGGATTTTATTATGAAAATGAATTGGAAAGTGATTTTATTACGAAAATGCATTGGAAAGGTCTTTAATTATGAAAATCCGTTAGAAATTAATTTTATTATGTAAATGCCCTGGAAAAGGGTTTTAATATGAAAATGCATTGGAAAGGGATTTTACTATGAAAATGCATTGAATGAGATTTTAATATGAAAATACATGGGGATGGGATTCTATTATGAAAATGCATGTGAAACGAATTTTATTATGCAAATGCCATGGAAAGGGATTTTATTATGGAAATGCGTTCGAAATTAATTTTAATATGAAAATTCCTTGGAAAGGGATTTTAATATGACAATACATTGGAAAGTGATTTTATTATGAAAATGCATTGGAAAGTGATTTTAATATGAAAATACATGGGGAAGGGATTTTACTATGAAAACGCATTGGGAAATTATTTTATGCCAGTTTCGTTGTTTTTACGAGATGTCAAATCTTGTCGATTTATTTAATGTAAAATCGTTATTGTGATGATCGAACTGAATTCTCAGCAGAAATGGCCAACCATTAACTGACATCGAAGCATCTTCCTTATTGTATGTCTGAAGACATTACATTTATGACTTGGAGGAGGAAGTGATTAGTTTTTATCAAGATTAAACATTTTCGACATCTTTTCTTTGGTTGCTTGGATTGAGAGTTTAAGTTTTTTAAAATTTCGGATGTAATTTTTCCACCTGCGGATATTCTTTCTTGATTTTGGTGGTGAATTCTTTGAAAAGTGGCCAATAGAATAACTAAATGTCTTTCGATTATTGCTGAAGCTATTGAATTCCTCATAAAGTGATAGAAAATATTTCACTTTTTGGAAGTGGATAACTGCGTCTGGGAATTAAGGCCATTAAATAAACATATTAGATCTTATTAGACGTAAAACACACAAAAAGATCTGTGTTAAGCTGGTACAGCAGGAAGGAGACGAAATTCTTGTGTTTACACTTTAGACATAAAAGAGTGAACGATTTAAAGTATTTTGAAAAAAGATATTTAGAAAACTCTCGAAAAACGAATCCCAAAAAAAAGTAAGTTATAATAAATTTTAGAAATTAACAAAGTGGATAAAATGGAAAAAAATTGAAGCAAATGGTAAAAAAAGGTAGAAGAAAAAATAAATCACAAGCGACGATATAATTGATCTATCTATCTGTTTATTAAATTCTGTTTATCTTATTCTGTGTATAATCTATCTATCTATCTATCTATCTATCTATCTATCTATCTATCTATCTCTGTGTTTCTGTCTATCTCTCTCTCTATATCTATCTATATCAGGCTATTAACTTTTTGTTTATATTAATCTGTTCATTATCTATATATCTATTTGCCTGTCTGTCTGCCTGTCTGTCTGTCTCTTTCACTCTCTCTCTCTCTCTCTCTCTCTCTCTATCTATCTATCTATCTATGTCAAACTATTAAATTTTGTTTATATAAATCTGTTCATTATCTATGTATCTATCTTTGTCTGTGTGTCTGTCTATCTCTCTCTCTATATATATATATGTCTTTTCAGTATCTATCTATCTCTCTATCTATCTATGTCAAGCTATGAAATTTTTTTAATATCTACCTGTTCATTATTTCTTTCTGTTTGTCTGTCTGTCTGTCTGTCTGTCTGTCTCTCTCTCTCTATATATATATATATATATATATATATATAACTATGTCAAGCTTTTAAAATTTGTTTTTATCAATCTGTTCATAATCTATGCACCTAGCTATCTTTCTATTTATCTGTCTGTGTGTCTAAAACTGTGCTTGTCAATTTCTCTCTCACACTCTCTATCTCTCTCTCTCTCTCTCTATCTATCTATCTATCTATCTATCTAGTCATTATAAACGTCTGTATTTTTAATTATCTTAACAGATTTACATTATTTGACGTTGCTGTTATCAGCGAAAGCATTATAAATGGTTTAACGAAGCCACAAATCGCGTCTCAGCCATTTGTTGTCCTGACACAACTTATTGTTGTCGCCGTAAGAGGTTTAATAAAACAACGCAATTTACACACTCGTTTAAAAATCGAAGTGAATTTTTCAAAGACAGATTTCCCCCAAATATATGCAAATGTAGGTATGGGAAAAATCTTTTACTTGTTCCCATTTCTATATAGATAATCTAATATATATGTATACCACAGGCACATCTATGTAAATATTTTAAGCCTCAAAATTGACTTGTATGTAACAATGTGATATATTTAACAAAAGAAAGTCCAGTTGTAATAGATACGATGGCAATCTGATAAAAAGTCAAGATAAAATTGCGATGACTGTCATTCAGAATTTTACTGTAAATTTATGAAAGCTTTTGTAGATTTATAATGTAAAAGGAAAGATCAAGATTTATAATGTAAAAGGAAACGATCAACAAAATGATTTTCACAAATGTAGGATGAATACAGCAATAGAGGTTGTTACTTCCAACTGTTTTTGGTCTGGCAGTTGCCATGGCTTGATACAATGGGGAAAATAAGTATTTCATCTCCTACTGATTTTCTGAGTTTTCTGGAGTGAAAACCTCCTTGCCTCAGACAGGATACTGAAGATGGGTCGTGGATGGGTGTTCCAGCATGACAATGACTCAAAGCATATGGCTATGGCGGACGGAGCTGAAGCTTCAAGTTGTCCCATGACAACATACAAATCTTAAGGATTTGGAGAGGGTCTGCAAAGAGGAGTGGGCCAAATCACCCCCCTCTAGGAACTGTAAAAACTTGGTAACCAACTAGAGGAAACATCTGGCTGCTGTTCTTGCCAACAAGCGTTTCTTCACCAAATACTGAGTTATTTTTTTGTTATGGGGTGAAATACTTATTTTTTTCAATAAAAAGGAATATATTTTCAAAAATTAATATAATGTTATTTTCTAGAATTTTTTTCATTTTCAAGACTTCTGAAAATTATAGACCGTTCCAATTTTTGTAAGCGGGTAAACTCAGAAAATCAGACGGGGATGAAATTCTTATTTTGCTCGGTGTTGTAAGCAACGGACGATCCCTTTCTTTACGCTGTATGGATGGCGGGAGTTGAAATTGAGGTACTGTTCGGTGAATGTCGGTTTACGGTATACGGATGTCTTAAACCCATGCTCTGTTCGAGATATTAGAACATCCAGGAATGGGAGTGTGTTGTTACTCTCTTACTCCATTGTGAACTGTATCGAAGGTCTTATTGAGTTCACATGGTCCAGTAGAACCTGAACATCTTCCTGTTGTAGCCAGAGTATGAAGATGTTAACCATATAGTTGGCTTTAGAGATATAGGTTCTAATGCCATTTCCTCAAAGTATTCCATGTATATATTCGCCATTGCTGGTGATAATGACGAGCCCATTGCTAAGCCCTCATCCTGTCGATATATGTGTGAACTCATTCCGAAGTGTGTTGTTTGTGTACAGAAAGTCAACATCTCCATCAGATTATCTATTGGAATACTGGTTCGTTCTTCTAGGGATGAGTTCGAGGCCAATCTGTCTCTGACTACTGAGAGTGCCTCCTCCGTGGGTACCTTGGTGAACAAACTCACCACGTCCAAGCTCACCATCTGGTTGGATAGGATGGGAGAATCTTTGATTATTTCCACGAAGTGGGCGGAGTTTCGGACACATGAAGGAGACTTTCCGATCAATGGGTCAATTATATCTACAAGTAAGCAACTCAGAGGGTGGCACACAGAGCCTTGGCAACTAACAATCGGCCTGAGCGGAATAGAGTCTTTGTGAATCTTAGGGAGACCGTATATGTGAGGTAGCTTGGTGTAACGCTGCAATAGCTGCCTATACGTCTTGGGTGCGAAGTGATCCTTGTTCTTGATTAGGATCTGTGACAGTTTGCGTTCCGTTTTCATAGTAGGATCCTTTTTCACTTTGCTGTAGCTACCATTGCTAATGAGGTCTTCCAGTTTTCTTGTATAATCTGATTTGTCCATCACTACAGTCGCATTACCTTTGTCAGCAGGTAGTATGATGATGTTTTCGTTCCTCTGTAAGGATTCAATCGCCAGCCTCTCCAGTTTTGTTATGTTAGACCTGGACAGCTTGGCTCTCTCCAAGGTCTGTCTTACTTTCGATCTCAGTTCATCCGACTGAGCCTGAGGGATGTTCAAGGACACCTCCTCGACTCTGGTAATGATGTCCAAGTATGACACCCGCCTGATGGTTGTGGCGGAATTGAGACCCTTATTCAAGACTCCTCAGAGGCACTCAGCTGATATTGGCTGATGTTGACTACTGCTTTCACTGGTGGGTGATGGACCTTGTGCGCCACCTTCTGATCTTTCAATTTATTTAATTTTTGCACTTGGCGAGCCTTGACTACATCAAATTCATGTCTGAAGGACAGTCTACCACAGTGAGCGAAATAAAGGGTTCAGTTCGAAATCCCAACTACCTGAAGAAGGCCGGAGCGTACAACGGCCGAAACGTTGTGATAAATATGGCGACAAAGATGAGGACAATAGTCCGAATAATGTAAATAATGTACATAATACCTCATCTCAGAAATATAGACAGTTACTGAAAGTCCGAAACATTGTAATAAATATGGCGACAAATATGAGGACAATAGTCCGAATAATGTAAATAATGTACATAATACCTCATCTCAGAAATATAGACAGACTCTGCTATTGGACAGTTTTGAAACTGTTGCCATTAGCTCTCTGACTGCCCCGCTGTTGGCCTCGTTTTAAATCTATATACGGATTAGCTGTTTTGGATCTGCCGCCGTTGATCCGTTTTGGACCTACCGTCAGTAGCCTTTTATGAATTTGCTGACATATGCCATTTTCAATCAACCTTTTGCACTGTTTTTAATCAACTCTTTTCTTAATCACCCGCCATTGGACTGTTTTGAAACTGCTGTCATTAGCCGTTTGACCACCCCATTCCATTGGCCCGCTTTTAATCTACTGTTAATTACCCATTTTGCATCTGCCGACATTGGTCCGTGTTGTCCTTGGCTCATTTTTAATTAACCACTGTCGTTATTTCATTTGTTTTCGAACCGCGCTCCGTCACAGTAATTTAGCAATTTCTACTAATTTCTACTAATTTGTACTATGAAAAAACCTTATTTGCATGTATGTGAGCTGATCGAAATAACTGCTGTGAAAATGTTAAAAGGCTAATTTCCAAGAAATATTTGAGAAATTACTCTCAATTGAATAATGAATTCTTAGAAATTAGTCCAGGTAAAATGAGCAAATTATGTCTTGGTGAATAAAGATATATTTGTTTGTTTCGAAAATTGTGGGTAAATATGTTTCGTAATATATATTAGTATATTTTTCAGTATATAAATGTATATTCACAAAAACAAAGCGTTTATGATAATCTGATATCTACAGGGTGTCCCAAAATAATGTATACACACTTTATATATTAATAGTTAATAATACATTACCGTGATGTGAGAACTTATATGGATGAAAATATGCAAAACAGATGGATTGGAAGAAGAGGTACAGTTGAATACCCACCTAGATCACCAGATTTGACACCCTTGGATTTCTTTTTGTGGGGGTTTCTAAATGACAAAGTTTACATCATGAAATCTGAAACAATTGCTGAAATGAGAGTAGCAAATGACTTCATGAGTTCAAGCGCCCTACGAGGCTGGCATCCCGCTCTCACCCTTTCACTGTCGAAACTATTAAATGTAGCCGTCTCTTCTACTCCAATAGCTTCATGTCTCGCACTTCTCGCCTGTGGAACTCCCTTCCTTATTCTATTTTCCCTGAGAGTTATAATCTCCAACGATTCAAATGTAATGTCAATCGACATCTCCAGTTGCCTTGATCTATCCACTATCCTTCTCCTCATCCTTTCCTCTATCACTCCTATCTGATCTTGCTCCAAATTTTCTGTAACCCCTTGTGTCTTATTGGCTTCCTACCTTGCTTGGGGTGAAACACTTAAAAAAAAAAAAAAGATTGAAGAAGAATGTGTTCAAATACCAGAGGAAATGATCCTGGACGTTTGTAGGTCTGTTTCTTCAAGATATGAAAAGTGTATTACACAGAACGGCAACCATTTTGAGCACTTGATGTGAACTCATCATGATATAAATATTCTGCCATTGCCCCAAGTAGCTTTTATTTTATTAACGTTAATTTTCTATGCTTTTTGTATATTTTACACTCAATTTCTTTAAATGGGTATTCTTTCTCTTGTATTAATCTTATTTACAAGTCAAAATACATAAATTGAATAAGTTATAACGATTCAAAGAGTGTATACATTATTTTGGGACAGCCTGTATATATCTATATATATATGTGTGGGTGTGTGTGGTTATCAACATTTAAGCATGTTTTGCATGTTTCTCATCAGCGTTGTTAGACATCCGATTGCTTCAAGTCGAGATCAAATGAGTGCGCATCATATATTTTATATCATAAATAAACAATTTATACAAAGAATTAAATAGCAATGTTAATGGGATTAATGGCGAAATCACTTCGCTAACAAGACTTAATGATACATTAACTCACTATCAGTTCTTTGAATAATAAGATCCTTATATTCGAGGTGTTGTCAGATATATTTCGTCTTTGTGTTTTTCTGTGTATGGGAAAATTGCGCCCTGAAGATGACAATTTGAAATTGTCGAAATTACTTGGTATGTGCCTTCCATCTGACATCAACTTGAATATAAGGATCTTATGATTCAAGGATAGTATCTTATTAAGTCTTGTTAGGGAAGTGATTTAGCCATTAATCACATTAACACTGCTATTTAATTCTTTGTATAAATTGTTTATCCCTCACTCTCTCTCTCCCAATATATATATATATATATATATATATATATATATATATATATA